CTATTATATATAATTATATGTGATCACAGACACGCGTAATTGGCGTGTATAGAGTTTGCTTACTTTTTTTATCTCTCATGTTCTCATTTTTGTGTCACACGTCATCTCTCTCTCGCTCTCTCTCGCTCTCTCTCTTTCTCTCTCGTGTACCTTAACGACTTAATATCAAATTTGATTTGTTTAAACAGCCTCTCTGTCCTTCTCGCACACTAACGCCACGCGTGCGTTCTGCTGTTGCCAACCTGTTCGATGGTCAGAAAGGGCGAACTTCGTTGCTCGCGCGTTTCAAGTAATCTCTCGTCTTCAGTTGTCGTCACCGAGAGGCAAGATTACACGAGGTTGCGCGAAAGGCAATTGAAAATTCGTTGATAAAAACGCACGCGCGTACGCGGCTCATCGTGCCCGAGTCTTTGTCTTCCCTTTTCGTCTCGCGATCGTTCGCCCCTTCGCTTGGTCCTTGCCGTTTCCGTTCCCTATCCCTCTCCCTTTTACAAAATCAAAAGTTTCGAAATCGAGTCGATACGCGCGCCACGCGAGATCTAAACTGGCCGATGATACCAAAGGATGATCTTCGCGCAAGGAAAATTTTTGTCAAGTACGCGACGCGACGCGCGTGACTCTCTCTCTCTCTCTCTTCCCCCTCTCGATTTCCTTTCTCTCCCATTCATTCCGCTTCGTTCGATTTTTGCTCGAGATAGTAAATACGTCGCGTATTTTTCGGGTTGGTAAACAGTAACGCCGTGATCCATCGTAAATAAACACAGCCGATAGGCATTGCTTGTCTCTGCGAGCGAGCGCGCGCACGGCTGCCGGAGAGCGCGCGGACTTCGAAAGAGATGCGCGCATTAGGGTGCGGCGCATGCGCCCGCGCGCAGATCGTCCTACGATCTAACAACTTCATTTATCACCTGTACTCTCGACACACACGGATACGACGAAAACGAAGGTACACTTCTTTTTTTTCTTTTTTTTGTCATTTCTATATTAATAGCTTTCTCGTTATACGATAGTCAGTGAAATAAACGAGGTTAAAACGTATATAATATGTACAGCGCGAGTCGCGGTCATAGCGCGAAAGACAAATTGTTTCACTCAGCTTTCTTTACGTCTGTTTCCCTTGATCTCTTCACTCTGTCGCCTTTGCCACCGTCTGTTCGATCACTGGCGATCGGCGCGAAGACGACGACGAGACGCGCGTCTCCGCGTAAGACGTATCATACGATTGATCATATATCGAATTCGAAACAGCGCTCCTCTAACTTCTTAATTTATCCTTACGGTTAATTGTAGGTGCTACATCCGCAAATTGTACGTACAAAGTACCGCGCGGACAGTTGATTGATTTGCAAAAACGGACGCGCGATCATCTTCCCCTTTCTTCAAAAACTCTTTGTCTTCTGTGTTTCTTCCTCTTAAATCATCGTTAGTAATAAAACATTAAAAAAAAAAAAA